AATACTGTCGTTCAGGTAACCAAATAATGTACCCGACATGAAAAGAAGTCGCGGCACGTCGTACGTCAAAGATTTTCCACTATGAAGGTCGTAGTTAGTCGCTGGAAGGAGGGAGGATCGTGATAGGCTTTGAAAAGAATGTTTTCAACCCCTCTCCTTTTTATGTGGGAAAGTGGGGGAATTTTTGTTAAAAAAAATCAGAAAAGTGGGAGAATGTTGGGGAAACCTCGGAGAGGTGCATGGGATGGAAAAGCCGAGGGAGTCGTATTCTGCAGAATATTTTCCACCTACGGGAAGAAATAGGCAAAGCTTTCTATTGCATCCCAGTGATACCAGTCATACGCCTTTAGTAGCAACTGGTAATTGATAGACATAACCCTATCGTCTCCGTGGCGACAAATACTTTCTCGCCCCTACCCCTCACTCCCTTCCCCTGCCGAATATAAATATCGAGGTTGAGGACACCGCGTGAGCTGTTAGCGAGACAGTAAAGATCAAACCCTGCTCTTCCATTGCGCTCTTTCCCATTCCAAAGTCACGAAGTATGTGAAGCGAAACACGTCGTTGTTCTTTCCAAAGTTCTCCCTTAAATTCAAATCCATATTCTCACAAAAACAAAAGTCAAATATTCATGGTGTAGAAACACATATCCCACATAACGCCGGAGCGACGGGACAGTGCCAATGGGCGTAGCATGAACCCACCCGCGACAGATTTTCCACCAAAAGGAACGTGGTGAAGGCCGCAATTATTGGTGGAAAATACTGTCACGAGTGGGCTCATTCTTTGAATATCGACACCGTGCCGTCGCTTCAGATCACCATGATATCGCCTTCATGGAAAACTTCCCAACTAACCTGGGAAAAGACGATGCCTCCATTTTCCATGCTTTGAAACAATGTATCGGGAAAGAGACCAGATCGACCAACAAAGTCATCTCCTTCAAAAAATTGGGGTTAGTTATAGTTGCGTAATTGTAATGAGCAACTTCTGAGCGAAGAGCAGCGGATCGCTACCCTATAGCTGGGCGCTATCTCTCGCGACCCCCAGGCTCAGCCTTAAAGGCAGTTGGCACGATGATTGGGTGCTCGGCCTAAAATGCTAGTAGGGCGCTATATAGTGGGGAAATGGCGAAAGAACGGAGTGAAACGGTCAAAATCCTGCGAAGAAAAAGCCTCCGTTCTCAGTGACTTGTAAATCGATTTCGGACGAGTTTCCCGTAGGCATCTTACCAATCACCGCTACCGAAGATACGGCTGCATATGTGTACCCATGTATGCATGCAGCATCACGACCGCTTCATACCAATCCCTTCCTTATCGTGCCAATTGTCTTCAAAGACAGGTCCCGCGATAAAAGTGTCATGGAT